GAATGACTGAGCAGATGACATGAGAGACGTTCGATGACGTGTAGCGCCCATACATTTTCCCTTTCCCGTGTTGCGCAGCTAACTTGACGATAGATGGAGGTTGAATCAAAATCACTTCTAGATCATCTATTGGCTGAACGGCGAACATCATTCAACACATGACCAACCGATTCAAGCTACAGGCGCTGGCAATACGGGCCACTCGAAGACCAAGAATGCTTCCTCGAAGGTCGTAGCATGCCGCTCTGCATGCACCCATGGCAGTGGTCGATGCGTTCTGGGGCGCATGAGACGGCTCTCTGCCGGATCCTGCGAGTCGATAGTTTTCCCCTGTGTTGCCAATGCCTGTATCTGAGACGAGGCAGCACGTTGGGGAACCGCCATGGAAGGTCCTGTGTCGTGTTGACCCTCGCCATGAGGCGCGCTCAGTTGGTCTTGACTCTTCTCGCGAGCTTCAATCGCTCCAAGACGATGAGCCGGCTGAAAGTGTTCCACGTTCCAAGCGAATATTCACCTCTGGACCGAATAGACACACTTTAGTCCTGATTCAAATAAATCACATGGCTTGTGGCATTTGCGTTCCTGATGGTGCACGCCAGATGATTACTAATGAACACCCCTTTCACAATATCTCACATGGCACACTGGCTTCCGCCACATACTGGGCGCACCGCCACACCCTTAATTCTCGCCTAGTGGATCTGCCCATTTTAGTAACCTCGCTCTCGTCTTCCGTCACGGTGGCGACAAAACAGTGGACTTCTTCTTCTTCGCCATAACTCTCTACACCCGGAACTTTTATTCCCAGTTATCCTCCTCATTGGATTGGAGCTGTGGCCGTGTGGGCCTCCCTCATGCGACGCCTCAACTCTTGACTCAATTACTAGGTATGCTGGCAGCCTAAAGTGTCGTGGCTGTGCAGTATAGCTCGTACGTAGGAGCCCTCTCGCGCCAAACCTCGGCTTACACTGTTCCATTGAATTCTTCTTTCGCTCCGACTCTCGTCAATGGAAGCGTCTGAAGAGAAGAATCGACTGAGCTGCTCCCGTGTGACCTATTTTGCTGTGCAGGTTGCCTCTTCAAGAGGCCAGACAGGGCTCTTACGCTGCCAAGACTTGACACATCAGTGGCGGGTGCATCCAGACCCACATCAAATTGTGGCTGGAGGATGATGCACCAGTGACAACCCCAAGCTGACGTCGCCTTGTTGCGACAACCATCCACTGCAGGCATCCATGTTGGCATCGATCCCAGCATCTGTCATGTGTGATCCAATGGCATGTGCGCTGCGGCTCAAGCCCCCGAGGCCTCGTAATCTGTCGTCGTCGCCGGCGGATCTCCAGAAACATGGGCGACGTCCGACCTGAGGGGCCTATACCCTTGGCGTGCTCTCTGCTTTCCTCACCATTCCCCTCTCTCCCAGACACTTGAACTTGAACCCAAGCATACATCTACATATGGGCTCATTTTTCGTCACACCTCCGACACCGACCACTCCTACCGAACGACGGACTGAGCTCATGACCAGGCCCGAACGCACCATGGCGCCGTCCATCGATTCGGCCCTGGGCACGGCCGACATGGCTAACGAGCAGAGGGGCCTTCTCGAGCTCATCGACAAGCTTCAGTTCGCCCAGCTCGACAATGTCAAGCTGCCGCAAATCGTCGTGGTGGGCGATCAGTCTGCAGGCAAGAGTTCGGTTCTCGAAGCCATCACCGGCACCCCATTTCCTCGCGATGCGGGCGCTTGCACACGATTCGCGACCGAGATTCGCATGAGGCGATCCAACGAGCCGTCACTCACTGTCTCCATCATTCCTGACAAGCACCGCAACTTTTCGCGATCAGGAGCGCCTGAAGCAATTTCGGCGGCATGGTCGACCACGACATGCCCTTTGACGCATTGATGCGGTCTTGCCGTCGATCTCATCGCTCCCAAGAAACATTCCCGGCAGGTTCGCCGCCCGCGACATTTTTGG